TCGTGTGATTATTAGTCACGAATCAATGAAAGCAGTTAAATCTTCTGTTTATTCAGCAACCTATAGGGATTTCCTGGGTTTCTTCTGCAAGGCATATTTGGAGTTTCAGCGTGAGAGCGCCCTGTAGTGTTCGGATGGAGATTTACTGCTGATCACAGAACCGTGCTTCACTGAAAGATACGCATGACAATCGCAGCTTCTGCCTAATCGCGATTTATCGCCTTTGCGATTTAATTCCGATTAATCGTGCAGCCCTAACATATACCCCATTAAAATAAGAGGAAGAGAAGAACCAATTGTCTGTGAGCATTTCCTTCTGCACCTATATGGCAAACAATAACTTGTCTTGTACTAGTTTTCACTCCACACATGTACAAGAGAGAACCAAGTTAGATGAAAGTGAACACAATTTTCAATTAAAATAGTTCTTTATGCCATCTTATAAAAAAAATAGCTCCTGTATAATACAAATGCTCATTTATCGATTTGTCCGCAACCCTGTTGTGGCTGTACTAGGGATGCAGCGATTAACCGGTTTCGCGCTTTAAAACGTCACGGTTAATTAATAGTAAAGGTTCCGCTAAACCGAGTGTTTCTGTTACACGGAACGGAACTGTTGCAGCTTACACAAAATTAAAACAAAAGTTACACTAGTGGTGCACCAGCTTAAAATGACGTGCTTATCAGAGGCACGGAGGCTACTACATACATTAGAATGTTGTACTGAATGTTTGTACACGTGCGCAGCGCGATCGCTGATCTCACAAACAAAAATAATAGGCATGAATTTCTCAGGCCACATGTAAAATCATATGAATTATTATAAAGATTATTAAAATTAATATGTATGGATGACAGTTGATTACAATAATATTTCAGTTTATTTCCATCATTAGTAACAGTTTCCCCTGTGGGACAAATAAAGTTAATATTAATAATAGGCTACTTCATTAACTTTATTTACTGTCCCTGTTGTAGTATTATTCATAAGTAAAAACCAACAAGATTTTTTTTTCACCATGTTTCCAAATTCTCTACCCCAGGTCCAAAAGAAATGTAAAGAATGTACAAACTGAAAACATTAAATACTTTTGTGATCTATTTCTATTTGTTATTTTCAAAAAAGAAATACTGTTATGGATGTTTACAGATTAGAGGTCACCTTTTTTTAATTCCAATGGGAGAGATGGACTTTTGTTTGTCTTTTGTTATTATTATTTTGTGCTGTATTGTTGGTTACTATGTTATTTCTGTTTCAAAAGCCAGCAATAAATAACACTTTAATATCTAAAAAGTCAAGTGTTCATGTGATTTTATACATTAGTAATGTTGGGATATGAATAAATGCATAATAATCGTCATAATCGTAAAACCGTGATTATTCCTCAGACAATAATCGTACCAACAAAATCTATAATCGTTGCATCCCTAGGCTGTACAAATGATTTCTAGAGTGAATATATATTATTTACAACACAAAAAGATCTTTGTTTTTGGAGATTTGTTTCAGAAGTGGTGTTGCTGTACAATGACCCAGCTAAGCTGTCTAGGTGTTATACAAGGGAAATAAATGTAACCGCTCCTACCCACAACAGCTATGCTGATACAATGAATAAGACACTGGAAGAGGAACCACCATTACTTCCATTCTGCACTCCAGTCATGATGTAGTCTAAAACACTAACACAAGCGCACAAAACACTGTGCATAAATGTGTAATATTAATGCAAACTGCCAAATGATAATGCGTTCTGGGACAAAAACACAAACTGATTTCTGCTTGCTTTAAATGCTAATCTTGCAAGACCCTCAGTTCAACCAAAGCTCTCGTGAAAAACAGCTGACCATGGCATGTACTTTTTAGGGCTGCATTCAAATTTTAGGTGTGCATTAAGGAGGCAGCCTTATCAGTGGTGCATGAGATGCGATGACAATGTAAGTGTCATTGCATTATAATGTTTTTGTTAGCCTATCCAGTTGAAGCCTAGATGTGGCGCTGCTGCATTGTTCATTAAAAATATTGCGGAAAAAGAGAACATCAATGAGGAGAAGATCTTGTTTACATCAAAACTGAAATCAAGCTGTTCACACAGAACACATATTTCGTGCATTTTCTAGAAGGACATCTATTACCGTTGCACTCACATCTCGCACAAAGGAGACGCATGTTTAGAAAGTCATGTAAAATGAATGCAAGTTTAACTTTGAAAAAAACATATATCAAGACTTTATGGCGGGGTTTTCTGCACCCTAACTGAAATTATGCGTTTGAATATAATTCGAATTTTGATAATATTTATGTACAAAATTCCAATTTAGTTTTTCAGCCATTTTGACAGCCCTAGTACCTTTAATAGCTGCAAATATTTACATCAAAAACAGATACAGCAAGCAGAAGCCACCAAACAAAGTTTGTAAGCTCAACTAAGACGTATGCGGTCAACATTCTAAGGTCAAATCAAGCACACTACTTCCAACTTCTAGTATATCATCCATTACATTCGAGGTATTGTGTAACACTCACAAAGTTATATTAAAGTAAAAAAAAAAAAGTTAACCGTTAATAATAATAACTATCTATTTCAGTCTAATGCTTTAATTCCAACAGATGCAGATAAAGAATTTCCAATGAATAAATACACTAATTCCTCTTTATGCTTCCTGTTTCTCTGTGTGCTTTGGTCAGAAGTTGCCAGTTGTGATTTATTTAAGAGTTGAGACATTTAAGGATTGGGCAAGCGCTCAGCCTTGATTCTCTCAGCAGTCATATATAGTGGTCGACCGATATTGTTTTTTTGACAGCCCATACCGATATCTTAGAGAACAGGGTGCCCGATGGCCAATATGAAGCCGTTATATATGTGCGTAAATTTATTTTAATTCATATTTAAGAAATTTGAAATAATTTATTTTGTAATTCATTTTAAATGTCAAATAAACGTATGTATACTTTAGATGACAACTTCTTGATTCTGCATAAATAAATATTTAAAATAATATATAAATAAAAAAGTAAGTAAACACTATAACCAACAGGGCACTCTGTTTGTGTGCACTGGAATCATATTTTTTCAAATAAAGCCAAGGTAACACTCATTTTACATACAGCACACAGTGAAAATGACATGAATATGACAGTGGGCAAATGGATAAAGATATTGGCATAGTTTGAAATCAAAAGTTTAAAGTTTGTCTTTAAACAAAAAAAAAAAAAAAGTTGAAAGTTTGTCTTTTAAGATGAACTCTCCTCCTGTCCGCATTCAATTTGCAAGGACCGACCATCGAAACAAATGAAAAGAGGCAGTGGTGTTTGATATCATATTTCGTCTAATTACAGTGAGAAAAATTGTAGTAGCCAAGGTGAGCTGACTGACGTTATCAAGTACGCTGCTGTTCCATTTGCAGAATTACCGGACTTGCGTCATCCGGTCCACGGGAGTTCACACTCCCAAGTCGAACTCACGAAGTCCAAACTACCGAGGATGCAAGTCCGAAATTTGCGTACTTGGTATTGAGAAACGCACGCAGACCTATGTCACCAGACTATTTTCCTATTCTTCACGGTACTTTAGACAACGATGAAAACGCACACAGCAACAGGTCTGGGGGGAAATAAAAGTTCCTGGGACAAATTGTTCCAGGTCATTTCGGTGGAAAAGCGGCTTAAGTCTGCAAGGTTTGTGAAATTAAATGTTTATTAGACATTCAAAGATCTGTTTAAATCACATAAACGCGTATTTGCTGAATGCTGACGGTAAACAAAGAAGTATTATGTTTGCCTTTCTATTACTTATAATATAAAAGCAATCGTTATATTCGATAGCTTAGATGTAGCACATAAAATCAAACGGTTCAATTGTATCTGGTTTCTGAACAGTAGTGAATATGGTCCAAATACAGACAAAACATCCAGTGGCATCCTGAAGTATCTCTAATGGACATTCAATTGTGTAACAACTATTCAACACAAAATCATTGACAACAGTGATTTCTTACTTGTGGATCTAAAAAACACAGTTATAAAAAAAATCATGTGAAAGGTTCTTCATATCACTTCAAGCAGAGGCCCATTAGTTTACACCAATACCTCAGAGACATCATGTGCAATGTGACCCAAAAGATATGGTTTCTTATGTTACCCAGATGCTCCTGAATACTTCTGCCTTTAGACTGATATAAATACCGAAGCGATGTGCTCAAATATAACATTGTATTGATTAATTGTCTTTGTAGCCAAAAGAGTGCAGGGATGTGTGGGCAAGTGTGATTCAAGATGAGGGATGTAGTTGGGGGGGGGGGGGGAAAGTTTTTCAGTAAATGCAAAATTCAAACCTTGATCAAAAAGTCTGTTAAGAAATATCTGCCATTTGCCTTGCTATTCCTTAAATATTCTTGAATAAATCTAATCATTCAGGTGCATATCAAATATGCTCATGTTATGTAACTCCAGCACTCAGTCATATCTAATCTAATGTTCTCACATACAAATATGACCTTTGGCCTAGCCAGCCTCATCCAATAATTTTCTTTTTTTAAGCACTCATATACATATATGTAACATCCATGAATAATTTTAAAAAGGAGCTACCAGTAGAGGGGGTGTACATGCAACATATAAAACATGTATGCATGAGCAGCAGCAGTCAGCAAAATGTTATTGGTCAATATTGCAGGCACTAACAGTAGTTCAATGCATTACTAGTGTTTTCTCAACTCCACCGAACAGGTCTTTATGTTGGGGACTCATCAGACCAGTTACTGAGGAAATAAGCTGAAAAATCCTGGCAGCAAACGCTGCTCCTGTATGGATTATATTCAGATGGTGTTACGTAGCTTTTTTTTACAAGAAACCTGTGAATTCGATCTCAGTGCGGAGTAACACGAGAAACAGCCTCCAGTGGCACACACACATACACACACAAATAGGCATGTCATAATACAAATGTACACTCTGTATATGCATATTGCATTTTAAGGGGTCAAAACATATTAACACCCACCTGAGGAGCAGGAAATGAGGAACACTCCAAACGCTAGCTTCGTTGCAGGTCCCATTTTTCAATCTTCTGTCTTGTCCTACAAAATCCAAAAGTCTTTGCATCCAAGTTTCCCCTCGAACCACTGATCAGCAGTCAGTGAAACACATCCATGTCACCGAGTCAGTGATATATGGCAATGCACAAATCCAATTCCAGTTTATAGTCCTCAGCTTCAGTGATTTAGAAAAGTCATCAAGTGTCCACTGGTGATAGTTCATTCAAAGCAGACGAGCTTTTACAAATAAAGTGATCTATGACTGTCCATGCAGTTTGCTTTAAAACCCATATCAATAAGAAACTCCAATGGGTACGAATACTGTATCTATACAATGTTGCCCTAGTCTTGCGCTCAGAATAAACGAGCCCGTTCAATAAGCTGTTTCAGTAAATGGGCCAGCTCCCAACCCCAGTGATCAGAACAACTGGACAACCTATGCATAGAACCCGCCATAAAATATACAGATCAAAACATTGTTGTTAATGCAAAGGAACTGAGCAATGCTTCCAAACCACCTTAAAAGTCTATGGCAGTTCACTAAATGCATGCACATTCACGGAGATAAAAATGGAATTAACATCCCAAAAACGATATTTACACATCACGCTTACTTCGCTTAATATTTAAATATATGTAGTACAACAGATCATAGATAAAGTGAGATAAATGGGGTCACGCGCACGATTCAGCGCAAGCGCGAGATCAAGTTGACAGTGAAGGACTTAAATATGGCCAAACGCGCTATTTCCACATTCCCTTCGGGTGTAAATGACTCGAACCTGCAATTCCCGACCTCACAAAGCTTCTCCAGAACTGCTAAGGTAGGTAGTTAAAACAAACAGTCGTTTTAAACTAAGAGATGTCGACGGCTGAATAAAGCTTGGCACGAAATAACTTTAACAGCCCCGTCGGGAATATGACGCCAAAAATGAGAAGGAATTGCCAGATAATGTCACTAAATGTAATCCTTCAATATGTATTGTCCCGGTGCTCGCGGTCGGTTGACTTTTTAGAGCGGTCGGAACCCAATTTATCGCGATTTTCCTCTCCGTTCCTGTCAGTCACCGTTGGCTTACTGTATTCAAGATGGACGCTCGGGTGGATTGTTTTTGTTTTTTTCTGTCCTCACTGCCTTAACCCGCCCATTTTTTACGTCAGCCCGGCACCGCACTGATTGACAAGCGCTTTACCCAATCAGAAAAGCATATATAAATAATTGAAACCAACCATAGTGCTGGGTCCACATAAACCCAGCCCTCTCTATGAGGGGTTGTATGTGGCAGGAGAGTGGCTTTCATTCGGAATGTAGGCTGTGAAATATTCACTGTATGTTAATAGAAGTGTAGGATACTATTATACCTGTGATGCAACATCCTATAATTTATGAAAAGGCATACAACACGTTATTGTGTAATTGAATTCAAATGCAGTTTCTGTATTTTTATTTTATGTTGCATTTACATAGGCTACTGGGGAGAACGGGGCTAGTCCAATTACAAAAATGTGTTTTCAATTCAATTCAAGTTTATTTGTATAGCGCTTTTCATGATACAAATCGTTGCATAGCAACTTTACAGCAAATTACGTTTCTACAATATTCAGTGGTAGCTTATCAGTGGTGACTGTCAGTTAATGTACATATGGCAGAAATGTACGGAAAAATCAATTAAAGACGTAATCAAACAGACAATGAACACTATTAATAGCAATCATTATATGATGTAATCAAACTTATAGCAAAATGTGGTAGTTCTGTATGTTGTCTCAGGGTTGGCATCATCTGAGGTCCTCTGAGGGGTTGGCATCATCTCTTTTCAGGTGTTCTGGATCCAGACTGAAGCTTGGCAAAAAACTGAGCAAATAGAGACATAATTACCGTAGCTGCTGTTCCAACCAAGCAAAACTGATTTGTTTAACCCAAGCTAAAGAATAATGCGTATTTGATCAGATATAACTGCAGTACAAGATTATGAAATGCATTATTTGAATGCTTGGCCAAAGAGATGTGTCTTTAATCTAGATTTAAACAGAGATTTTGCCTGAACCCCAAACGTTATCAGGAAGGCTATTCCAGAGTTTGGGAGCCAAATGCGAAAAAGCTCTACCTCCTTTAGTGGACTTTGCTATCCTAGGTACTACCAAAAGTCGTCAGATATAAAATATGTTAAATAACTTATTAAATTACTTAGTAATTACTGAGTGGTTAAGGTGTTTTTCACTTTAAAATAATGGTCCAAATCACTAGTAGTTCCTGCAGGCCGACAAGGTAACGCTTGAGTAATTAGTGAGAGGCTAATGTATTTTTCACTTTAAAGCTAAAGTGCTACTAAGGAACTACTAGTGATCTGGACCATTATTTTAAAGTGAAAAACACGTTAACCCCTCAGTAATTACTCACAAGTAAATTAATAAGTTATTTAACATATTTTATATCTGACATACTGTACAGTCATACATTTGTGTGAAGCACTAGTGATATTTTACCAGTAGGTCTTTTGGAGTGGGATACATTGATACTGAACTGACAAGAAGCAGAAATCATAATTGTGAACTAATTAAATCATGAGCTTGTCAGCATAACTTCTTAATTATTAACATTTTTAAGTGAATTTTCATTTTTATTATTATTCTCTGTTTAAGTTTGAACATCCATCCTTTGGTAAGAGTAGTAGTCAAAATTAAAAAATGTAGCCGACTTATTTGGGGGATATCAAATTCATAAATTAGTTTCCACAAAGAACACAATTGTTCACTTTTAAGATGTTACTGTTGTGATTAGTAATTAATTGGTTATTCTTTATTAACCGGTCATAGTTCACAAGTAGTTCTCAATGAGGATATTTTTATTTAATAATTATCAAATATCTAATAAGGAACTACCTTTATCCTTCCTTGCTGCTTAGTTAATCTTGCTTCTCTATTAGTTAATAGTATTAAGTTAAGTGTTAATGTAGTACTACCTATTACTTCCTACATAGTTACTTGTTAACAACGGACCATTACTCTAAAGTGTTACCGCAAATTCTTTTAGGAAATCTGTATACGGCCCTGGTGGTCTATACACAGTAGCCAGAGCAAGAGATACAATAGATTTATTTTGCATATCTGACAGTGTAACATTAAGCAAAAGTATTTCGAATGAGTTAAACCTGTATCCTGTCTTCTGAGTAACATTGAGAATATCACTGTACACTGTTGCAACACCGCCGCCACGACCAGTCTGACGGGGCTCATGCTTCCTGAACAGTAGTTTGGTGGAGTAGACTCATTTAGACCAATATTTGGTTTTAGCCAGGTTTCAGTCAAGCAGAGTACATCAAAACAATTCTGTGATCATTTCATTTACAATAACTGCTTTGGGTGCGAGTGATCTAATGTTTAGGAGCCCAAACTTTAAAAATATTTTATATTTTGACCTCACTATTCGGGGAACAGACACAGTCTTTATAGATTGGCCAGTGCAAGTACTTCTATCATTTAAGCGGGTAGAACAAAAGTCCTCATGGCAGTTATTTTAGATTTGACTTACTAGTCATATGGAGCGTAGCGTCTTGGAGATGTTGTCCGACAGGAGTTCCACACCAACTCTGCTGGGGTGCAGGCCATCAGCGCGAAAAAGCCTAGGACGCTCCCAGAAAAGATTCCAATTATTAACAAAGAGCAGTTTCTGTTCTTTACACCATGACAATAACCATTCATTTAAAGTAAAAAGTCTACTGAACCTTTCGTGTCCTTGTTTATACGTGTGAAGCGGTCCTGACATGATGATCGTCGTCGCGGGCGATGTGCTGCGCACCGTCTCGATCAGGCTCCTGAAGTCCCTCTTCAGTGTCTCCGTCTGCTGCAGCTTGGTGTCGTTAACTCCGGCGTGAAGCACGACCACTCCAGAGCTCTCGTCGCCCTTCGGGATCGCGGGTATCTGCGCAGAAACATCGAGAACACGAGCACCAGGGAAACAGTGAGTGTGCACTTTACCTTCAGCTTGTGTCCCGGCGCCGGAGTGAAGGACATCTGGGAAGATCGTCCTGGGTGCACCGGACCTGTGCAGAGAAACACACGGAGTAGAGGTGGTGGGAGAGTTAGCAGCGCGCTGTATACTTACCCCGGACCTGTGAGCGTCAGCCCGAGATGTTTCCAGCACAGCTCTCCGCTCCCTCAGCTGGGCCTGCCTCTTCACCAGGTCGCGGATCTGCTTCTCCACGGCCTCCAGCTCGAGCTGCTTGTCCTCACCTGCACTCAAAGGTAGACACATATCCGCCATTAAAGCAAGTAATAGTGATTAAATCAATGGTAATGTGTGTGAATAAAGTATTAGCAATGTAAACTAGATTAGCGGCAACCGCGCTGGCGATGCTAACGGGCTATATGCTAATAGCGGACTTGGGAAATCAAAATAAAACTAGTGATAACAAGTGTAGCGTCTCGACCAATCTGACACACTAATTTTTATTTGATTTAACAAATCAATTATTCATTAGATTAACAAGTCGTCACAGTCCCCTCACTCAATATACTGGATGCCAGGATTTCGGCTGAACACCATCCCCCACCTTGGTCACTATGACAACTAATCATGATATCACTGAATGATGGTGTATAAAATTGATTTTAAGATAAAAAATAGACGATAAAGAATCAACTTGATGGAGCTCAAACTCAAAACACGGCAGCAACAAGCAGTTATCAATTCACAAATTCTTCTTCTTCTTTGAAGTTTAACGGCGGCTTGCATCCAAGAGAGTTGCATTACGTCATCTTCTGGATTATTCTCCTGTGATGTTATTCCAGTTTATTTCCTCCAGCTTGTTTTCCACAATCATATTTTCCTTATCAAACCCGTTCTAATTAAGAAATTACAAATATTTTTCCTGCTTTGTCTAATCACCCCACTTTGCAGTATATCTTTAATACCTGTCCCTACCGACCAATCTCTTCTTAATTCTTCCATCATATTTCTCCTCTGCTCTTCATAACTTCTGCAACTTAAAAGTACATGTTCTATGGTTTCTAATGTCTGACAATATTCACAAAAACACATTTTAAATAACTATTGTGATGTTATCATGATCAGGATTGACCATTGTGTGAAGCAGCTAATTGTTAATATCATGCAAAACATTTTTTTTATTCAGACATTTACTCAGACATAAATTCAGGCATTAATACTATAAAAAAAATAATTAGTGGCATAAGATAATTACTAACCAGACCATTTTTAAACGAAAAGCATCATAAATCTACATCACAAGGTCTCCACAGAGGACTGCTCTTACAGTGATTTGTGTTCTGCTCTCATTGTAACATAATAGCAACTCCCAACCTGGCCCAATGCAGCCTATGTAATCTGATCCACAAATATTCACACATAATCCTGATGCCCTATTTAACCATAAGCATTTTTTCCCCATTGCTGCAGTGATCTAAACTTTTGTTGAAGTCATTCTGTTTCTTCATTTGGTGCCTGCAGTGAAAGAGCTGAAAGTTTTGGAACTGAAAGTGTGCAAAGAGCACTCTGGAGCATATTTCACAATGAAATGTCAATTTTCCACCAACCAGAGGTGACTTTGGAACTCTCCAAACTAAGCTACTGTGAAGGTCAAAGACATGTGATCAATGACAGTGCCCACCGCACTTTGTCTCCCTCTCCTGATATTTCAAACCCGAGAGATTGCTGAGAAGCGCTCTTTTCTACCAACCTCCACCTCCTCTTTCCTTGGTTCTTTTAAAAATGAACCGATGCAGTTCCATGATAGACCTTTCCTTGGTTCTTTTAAAAATGAAACAATGCAGTTCCATGATAGATAGATAGATAGATGGATGGATGGACAAACAGATGATGGATGGATGGATATATAAACAGTCAATAATCACAATGTGTAATAGCATAAAGGCTGTAAGGCTAGTGTTTGGTTGGCCTCTATGTTTTCATCTGTCATGTAATTCCCACGTTTCCCTTGTGTTTATGCCATGTGCTTTTGTTTTCAGTTGTGTTTCATTCTCATTGGTTCATTGGTTTCAATATGTTCAGGTGTTTCACATTTGCTCAATAGTAGTTTGTATTTATAGCCCTGATTTTGCCATGCATCTTGGTCT